CAGAGGGGTGGCTCCAGGGGGGATGGCTGGGGACATGCTGGCCCCAGCTGAGCTGCTCTGGTCTGGTGGGGCTGGGGGCTGGTGTCAGGGTCTGGGGCCAGAGGCCAGGGTGAGGGTCACAGGTCCAGGATCAGGGTCTGGTATAAGAGTGTGGGGTCTGGGTTTGGGATGTGATATCTGGGTCCAGGGTCAGGTCTGGGGTCTGGGGCTGGGATTAAGATCTGGGTTGGGGTCCAGGGTCTGAGGTCTGGGGTCAGGGTCTGGGGTTTGGGGTTTGAGTTCAGGGTCTGAGATCCAGGGTCAGGATCTGGGGTCAGGGTCTGGGATTTGGGGTTTGGGCTCGGAGTCTGGGGTCCAGGGTCAGGAGTCAGGGTCTGGGATCCAGGGTCAAGGTCCAGGGTCAGGGTCTGGGGTCTAAATTCAAGGTCTGGGGTCAGCATACATGTTGTGAGGTCTGGGGTCAGGGGTCCAAGGTCAAGGTCCAGGGTCAAGCTCCAGGATTGGGGTCTGAACCCCAGGGCCCAGTTTTGGGGTCTGGGTCACGTTTCGGTCCCAGCCAGGCAGGCTCCGTCCACGTCCCCAGGCACATGGGTGCAGGCAGGACACCTCTCCCCATGGCAGGACCCCGTGCCAGCCCCAGGGGTGCACGTGGCACCCATGGGTGCAGCAGCCCCACTCAGCCGTCCCCCCTCCCAGGCCCGGCGCTGGTCCAGTACAATGCCCAGCAGCTCAGCCGCGTCTACCCGCTGGGGCTGAAGATGAACTCCTCCAACTACAACCCCCAGGAGATGTGGAACGCCGGCTGCCAGCTGGGTGAGACCCCATGGCCCCCAGGGGACGCCCCATGACCTGGCACCCCCCCCCCCAGCTGTCCCCCCCCCTGATACCCCATCCTCCTGTCCCCACAGTGGCCCTCAACTTCCAGACACCAGGCTATGAGATGGACCTGAACGCCGGGCGCTTCCTGGGCAATGGGTGCTGTGGCTATGTGCTGAAGCCCCCCTGCCTGCGCAGCCCCCCCGGAGAGGGGACCCGCCGCCTGGCGCTGCACGTCAGGGTGAGGGCACCCTGCTCCCCCCGGCCCCGCGTCCCAGTGGGTGACACCCATGACATTCCCATGCCTGGCCAGGTGCCACCTGCATCCCTTTTCCCAGGTGACACCAACCCCACACCCAAACAGGTGCCACCCACACCCCTTCTGGGTGATGTCAACACCATGGCCAACCAGGTGCCACCCATGTCCCTTCTGGGTGACACCAACCCCATTGCCAACCAGGTCCCACCCATGTCCCTTCTGGGTGACACCAACCCCATGTCCAGCCAGGTGCCACTCGCACAACTTCTCCTGGGTGACACCAACCCCACACTCACCTGGGTGCCACCAACCTCTCTTCTCCTGGGGACACTGACACTGGCCTCCCATCTCTTTGGATACCATCCATGTCCCTACTCCTGGGTGATGTCAACACCATGGCCAACCAGGTGCCACCCATGTCCCTTCTGGGTGACACCAACCCCATGTCCAGCCAGGTGCCACTCGCACAACTTCTCCTGGGTGACACCAACCCCACACTCACCTGGGTGCCACCAACCTCTCTTCTCCTGGGGACACTGACACTGGCCTCCCATCTCTTTGGATACCATCCATGTCCCTACTCCTGGGTGACACTGACCCCGTCCCCATGCCTGACCAAGTGCCATCCACGTCCCTTCTCCTGGGGGCACCAGCCCTGTCCCCACACCCAGCCATGTGCCACCCACGTCCCTTCTCCTGGGGCTCGCCACCCCGCGGTGCCCTGTGCCGCCAGCCCCCACCACCCTCTGCCCCCCACCAGGTGATCACGGCGCAGCAGCTGCCCAAGCTGAACAGGGAGAAGGGGAGCTCCATCGTGGACCCCTTCGTGCGGGTGGAGATCCACGGCGTCCCGGCCGACTGCAGCAAGCAGCAGACCCACCACAAGCTCAACAACGGTGAGCGCCTGCCAGGCCACCACAGCCCGGCCACCGGTCCCCAGGGACACCCCAGGGCACCCTGATCTCCAGGGCACCCTGATCCCGGGGGGTGCCAGAGCCCTCGGGCATCCAACCCCCCAGGCACCTGCTGGCCCCTGCCCCCCAGCTGCCAGCCCCTGTTGAGCCAGTGCCCAGGACACCCCAGTCCCCCCAGTGCACCCCAGTCCCGCAGTGCCCCGTCCCCAGCACAGCCTGATCCCCACTAATGGCAGGGCCCCAGCACGTCCCAGTTCTCCCCAGTGCTGCTCCCTCCTGCCCCCAATATATCTAGCCCAACCCCAGTATGACCCCCATTCGCCCAGCACAGCCCAGCCTGGCCCCAGTATGACTCCCATTCCCCCAGTATACCCCATCACAGTCCTAGTATGACCCCCATTACCCCAGTATACCCCATCATGGCCTCAGTATGACCCCCATTCCCCCGTCCAGCCCAGTCCAGCCCCACTATGACCCCCATTCCACCAGTATAGCCCAGCCTGGCCCCAGTATGACCCCCATTCCACCAGTAAATCCCATCATGGCCTCACTATGACACCTCTTCCCCAGTATACCCCATCACAGTCCTAGCGTGACCCCCATTCCCCCAGTATACCCCATCATGGCCTCAGTATGACCCCCATTCGCCCAGCACAGCCCAGCCTGGCCCCAGTATGACTCCCATTCC